TCCTGTCCCTGGGCGCGGACTGCGATCCAGTCCCCGCCAGCTACTGCTGTCGTGCTGCAGGCTCTGGCTTTGGAGAGGGACGTGGAGGCCCTCGTAGGCTTCTGGGACTGGCAGGGTCTTCGCAGGAGACCCCTCCCTCGGGGCTGGCGAGACCCTGGGCTCCGCGAGGCTGCAGAGCCCCCAAGTGACCGCGAGGTGGCGCGCTGGCACTGCGTGTCCTCGGGTTCAGCCCGGCTAAGCGAGGCTAGAGGACTGGAGAGCGAGGGGCGGGTTGAGGCGTGCGAGCTAGGAAGTAAGATTGGGAGAAGCTTCCCCTCTTCTGAAGACGGGCAGGGAACAGAAGGCGGTGGAAGGAAGAAATGAGCCAGGCGTCGGGAACAGCCAGGATGACTTGCGAACTGGGTTTTGTGGGCCAGCAGGACAAAGAGTTGGGGGGCGCCCAGGTTTCATCATCAGGGCCTTCGTGATGGAGCGTCGTGGCTCCCAGCTATTGGGGACTGGGAGGGAATTGAGGTCACCACCCCTGCACATCACACCCAACGTGGTTCCCACAGCCCTCCCCTCCCACTGCCTGGGCCCCTGCCACTTGCTCACGCACACGCACTTCTGACCCCACCTGGACGCCGTGGACGCGTGAAATCGTCACGTCACGCACCCAGCACCAGAATTTCCCTCAGACTACTGAAGTTCAGTTCAGCCTGTGTCCTGCACAACTCCTGGGGACCCCAGGTCCCTGTCCCCCCTTCGGACACAGCGATGGCTGGAATTGTGCATCCATAGTTTGGAGGAAGCTCTGGCATCACCCCCTACATCCACACGGGTTACCCCGCGGGACTCTCCCGGGGCCAACTTAGGACTTTTCTGAACCCGGTATGCTTTTTCCTGGTGGGTCCTCAATTTTTTTACAAATCATTTTATGATTGTGTTACTATAAAGACAATATATTAATATATCACTTCTTCAATCTAGAAATCCTTTGCCTCTTGGTTTTAAGAGAGATTAAAATATTTTCATGAACTCTGGGTCCTTACCACTTGCCTGTCATTAGCATAGTGACCACACACACACACACACACACACACACACACACAATCACTGGGCCACCTCTTGCCACAAACCCCAAGTGGGGAAATTCCCCTCCTGCCTCATCTCCCCTAAGTCCACCCCCAACCAAGAAGACAGATCCTGGGGGCCTGCAGGCACCCCCACCCCTCATTCAGAAGGGTTATCTGGGCTGGAGGTGTAGGAGAAACGAG